TCCATGGCATTTAACTCCTTAGCAAGGTCTTCCTCCACCTCTCTGTCCATAGCTCCCAACTTCATTCAGAGATTTATGGAGCACCTGCTACGTGCCAAGCGAGGTTCTAGGAGCTCAGAATGCAGCAATAAGCCTTCCACACTCAGTTCAATTGCCACCTGCCCTGAGAAGCCGCACCACGCCCCCCTCCCCACTCCCCGATGCCCACCTGCGTGTGAACTCTGCCTCCTCCTGTGTGTGCAAGTTGCTGTACCTGACCCAACCGTGAGGTAGCTGAGAACAGGAACCTCTCTCCCTTTCATTGCTGTATCAGGGACGTTACGGTCAGCTAACATTTGCTGAGTGTGGTGGTTAATTTCATGTGTCAATTTGGTCAAGCCATAGTATGCAGATATTTAGTCAAACGCTATTCCAGATGTTTCAGTGAAGGGCTTTTTTAAGGATGAGATTGACATTTACATCAGTAGACTCTGAATAAAGCAGATTACTCTTCATAACATGGGTGGGCCTCATCCAATCAGTTGAAGGCACTAAGAGAAAAAAGATTCCCCGCCCCCCCCAACCCCCCCGCATCCCGGAGGGAAAGGAAATCCTGCCCCCGGAATGCCTTTATCCTGGAGCTGCAAAGTGAACTCTTGCCTGGGTCTCCAGCCTGCCAGCCTACCTGCAGATCTTGAACTTGCCAGAGCCAGTACCTTAAATTCTCTCCCTCTCCCCCAACAGACACCCACCCACCCACCCACACACACACCCCTTAGACCAGTCAAGGTGACACATAAAACTAACCATCACATTTACATACTGTACAATTTACCCTTTTAGATGTAGGTTCTATGAGACTTAACAAAACTGGAGCTGTGTAGCCACCATGAAAATTTCAATCAAGTTCTCCAATGTCCAAACGACCCTCCGTCATCCATCCTTTCTGCCTCCCCCGTCGCCTGGCCATTACTGGCCTGTTTTCTTCCCTTGTAGTTGTACCCTTTACAGAGTGTCACATAAATGGAATCATACATTATACAACCTTTTGAGTCCAGTTTCTTTCACTTGACAATGCATTTGGGATTCATCCATAGTATGTGAGTATCAGCAGTATGCCCTTTTTATTGCTAAGCATTCACTCCATTGTACAGATGCACCACAGTTCATCCGTTCCCCAGTGCAGAGTCATTTCTATTGTTTCAAGTTTAGGACAGTTACAAATAAAAATGCTGTGACTTTGAGCATAGGTTTTAGTGGGAACACAAATGTTCATTTCCCTTATATACCTAGGAGTGGGATTGCTTGATCATATCTTAAGTGTATGGTTAATCTTACAAGAAACTTCCACACTGCTCTCCCAAGTGGCCGTCCCAGTTTTGCATTATCCCGGCCGTGGACGAGCACTGGGCCTGACAGTGCGGTGTTTTCGCTCCTTTTCCTGGCTGCTCGAATGCATGTATAATGTCTCACTGTAGCATTAGCTTGCCTTGTTAATGACTAATGATGTTGTGCATCTTTTCATGTGGTCATTTGCCATCTATAGATTCTTTGGTGACATTTCTATTCAAATTATTTTGCCCACTTAATAACTGAGTGGTTTGTTTTCTTATTCTTGGTTATATACACACATACATACACTGATATTTTTTCTGGATCTGTGTTACGTCTTTTGAAAATATTTTTTCTCAGTCTGTAACTCATCTTCTCATTTTTTCAACAGTGTGTTTTAAAAACAGAACTTTATATTAGTGAAACTCAGTGTATCTTTTTTCTTAATGAATGTCAGTGGTGTTGAGCTAAGAAATCTTTGCTTAACACAGATCATAAAAAATTTCCCATTTTATTCTATTTTATAGTTTTGGGTATTACATTTAGGTCTGTGATTTCTCTCATCCAATATTCTGTTCTTTAGAGGCAACTATTGATAGTTGCCATATTTCCGTGCAATTTTTTAAGCTAATGAGTATAAACTATTTGCTTACGTACACTGCCTTTCAAAAAATACTATTTTTCCAAACAGATTCAGGGTCACAGCAAAATTGAGCAGAAAGCACAGAAGCTTCCTACACACCCTCTGCCCCCCCCCCAACACACAACACACAAACTGTCCCCCACCATCAACATGCCCCACCAGGGTGACCCACACATCACACCCAGTGATCCCACGCTGACCCACCGTGACCACCCAAACCCTGCTGTCCCCAGTGGGGCTCGCTCCTTGTGCCACAGGCACCATATACAACAGTGGCCATTTGACCAGGTTGCTTCGCAACTCCATAATGACATCTGACATGGAAAATCTTCTCATATGCTTATTTGACATCTCTGTATGTTCTTGGTGAGATGACTGTTTAGGCCTTTTGCCCATTTTTTAAATTAGTTGTTTTCTTATTGTAGAGTTTTTAAGAGTTCCTTGTGATTTAGAATAACTATCCTTTATCCGCTATTTCTTTCAGCAAATAAAGGATTTTCTCCCAGTTTGTGTCTTCTCATTTTCTTGGCAGTGGCTTTCACAGAGCAGAGGTTTTTAATTTTAATGAAGTCCAGTTGATCAGTTACCTCTTTCATGGATTATACCTGTGGTGTTTTATGTTAAAAGTCATCATTATATCCAAGGTCTTTCAGATTTTTACCAATGTTATCTTCTAGTGACCTTATCATTCATTCTGATCCTTGTAAGTTTGTGCTATTTCTCCAAGAAATCGTAAAAATCTCAAGGAGAGCATCCTTTTGTAAAAACCTTTGTCCTCCCCACAGCACCTCTGCACACAGTAGATGCTCAGTAAAGCAATAGCTGAACAGGCCAGGGTACGCTCAGATAAAAATGAAGCTTCCATCCTGGAGACTACACCACGTCTCTCTGGCCCCGGCACACACCAGCCCGCAGTTCCCTCTGTGCATGCTCAGGGAGAAGACGGTGCGCTTGGGACACTGCTCCAACCCTGTGGCATCCCCATGGCATCCCCGTGCCTGCTGCACACCTCCCCTCCTTTTCCTGTGACGCGACCCCCTCAGTGGCCGCCATGGTTTCCTTATCTTTTTCCTTGGTGGCTGTCCAAAGAAGAAAGCATTCATGTATGCTTGGAGTAAAGCTTAGCCGCACTAATAATGCTTGCCAGTTTCTTTCATGTCATGTAATTTTTCTCTTGTAACAAAGAAATGAGAGGCATCGCTAAGTGAATGAAGATGGTCTTGAAGGGGCTCTTGGTCTGAAATCATGCCATGCCTACCACTGGTCCTGTGAGAGTGTGGAACAAGGTCTGGCTCTGTGCCCTGAGAGATGGGGTGGGGGGAGATGGGGGGAGAGGCGGAGAGAGAGGAGAGAAAAAGAGGGAGGGAGGATGTGCGTGGCGGGGAGAAGAAACAAGGGAGACATAAGGCAACAGAATACTATCAACAGTCACTAATTAAGAGTGTTTACAGAGAAAAAGTGTTAATGTTAGCTGTCAATATAAAAATAGTATTAATTGCACATATTGAGAAGAACTGCTTGCCATTTCTGGCAAATTGTCACACAGTATGATAACAGGTGTGTGAGTCAGTGATTTTCAGACCCTCTTTACAACCACGGGTTTCACAGGCCCCAGCGCCCAGCACATTTCCCCTGTACCACTCCTCTTCATTGACTTCTCGGGTTCAATTTGAAAGAAGTTTCACCGAAGATGAAGAAAAGAGAATAGGGCCGGGGGCAAGGCGGGGAAGAATTTGCAAACCCTGGACTTGACAAATTAAGTCTAGGTTAGATAAACTTGTGACTGATTAAACCTCTCTCTCCAACTCTGAAAAAGCAGCACAGTAAGAGGGAAATAGCTTGACCAGAGAGTAAAACACATTGTAAAGTCCCAATCATTAAAACAGTATGGCAGTGACACTTGAATGGAGAAATTACTAATGGAAAGTACAGAAACAGACCAAAACATGTACAGAAATTTGGCAATCAGTGAAGGTGGCTTAGAACATGAAAGAAAAACAGCCATTCTGAATTCTAAAATGCTCCTTAAGAGGGAGACAAACGAGAAATCGCCTGAATTCTTGAAGGAGGTAGGCTCTGAATGGGGACTCCACTGTCTCTCCTTCTATCCATGATTTTGGGTCTGCTTGCACCAAAATAAAACATAGCAAACTCAGTATAATTGTGTGTTCCTTTCTGAATTCAGATAATTTGGGGCAGCTGGACAGCAGGCTGAGTTCCCGCTTCATGAAGCCTCTGTGTTGCTGTGCCTGGCTCCTGGCCCCCGAATTCTGATTGGCCTGGGGAGTGGCTGGAGTACCACGATTTTTAAAACTCCCCTGTTGTGTCCAGTGTGCAGCTAAGGGTGAGAATGGCCACTTTAAATGGTCTCTTTCCTTCCATAAACTCTGGTAAACCAGCCTCTGATGATCGGTGAGTAAATAAAAGCATATGAGAGTACTTTTAAGCTAGGATGGTGCCTAAATATTACCTGTTGGTATCGTCAGAACCTTCAGGGTGGTGACAGCAGGGTGAATGCGGTCTCTGTCTCTGGGGATGCTCACGATTGCGCTGGGGAGCAGGTGAGACCTTCGGTGGCAAATGCCAATTTTGGACTGGCCTACCTCCTCCAGGTTTTTATCGAACAGCTCTGCTGCTGCAGAGTACCTAAGCCACTGGTCTCTCCTGAGTGTCCTGAGGTGAGCAGGCTGCATGAGCAGAGAAGCACCCCGCTGCCAGCCTGGGCCTGAAGCTGGTGCCTTCCCTGTGCCCCGCTCCACAGCCTTCTCTCCCAGGCAGGCGCGGGGAGGCAGCTCGCAAACTGCCATCGATCCCATGGCAAATCTTAATGCTAAACACGCTGCTTAGCTGTTTACATGGTCTTGTGAGTCACCTTTCAAAAACATCTTTTTGTAGACAGCTTTGTACTAGTTTGAAATTTTCTACACTAACTTTTTATTAGTTTAAACCTGGTTTATTTGAAAACATAAGCACTTAATATTTTTATTAATTAGTTCACATATCAGTTTATTTTAGCTTTATCATAATACTTTAGTAGTCATACTTTTTACCCATTAAATACAAATAAATTAGCCCAATTATACAATGAATTTTGTAACTTTCAATCTTAATAATTTTGATTTAAAAAATCCCTATATATGCTAAATGAAATAGGAATTTAAATTTTATAAAATTCATTCATAGTAGTGAGTTTCCTCATTTGTCACTTTATCAGCTGCCCCCCAATTTTCCCTCTGATCCTAAGTGAGCCAGGGTCATAGCTAACTCTGAAGACTGGGCCCCAGGGGTGCGGTGGGGGTCTTAAGGAGAGACCTGCCACTATGGACTGAATTTTTGTCCCCCACCAAAAAGAATTCATGTTGAAACCTGAATCCCCAATGTAATGGCACTGGGAGGTGGGGCCTTTGGGGCGTGATTAGGTCAAGGGAGGAGCCCCATTAATGGGGCCAACACCCCCCGTTTTCACCAGGAGGACCGATGAGAAGTCTGCAGTATGCAGCCCAAGAGCGGTGCCCCCGCGCAGCCCGACCACGCCACACCCTGATCTCAGCCCTCCAGCCTCCAGGGCAGTGAGCAATGCGTTTCTGCTGTTCCAGCCGCCCAGGTGTGGTCCTTTGTCCTATTGGCCCGAACCGACTGAGCCACCTTCAACGTTCTCTCAGGTCCTGAATGTCAGTTGTGAGGTTGCGTCTGTGCTCCTTATTTGTGCCATTTCGTATTTTCTTCTCCCTAATAGGGCCGTGTAACCTGATAAGCAGGGGTCAGTGCAGTTCCTCCTCAGATGTCTCCGTGAAAACTCAGCACCGTGCTGAGTCCAGGGTAGGATGGCAGTAACTCTTTAGCTCAGAGGGGGCTTTACCGTGAAGTCGAAGAAGCTGAAGCTCCGGGGCCCCTGTTCACCTGGTCATGTGTATTTGTACAGTTAGCAGGTAATGCAACACAGGCGAGTATAAGTGCACCGTGATTTTTTGAAATCAGGATTGTGAAAAACACAATGTGTCAGAATCCCTGTGCTTCTCCAGCACGAACCTGCAGCGGCCCATGGACAGTGGGAACATCCGTCGGTGAAGCTGCGTGCTCAACGCTTCCCGGCCGTCAGCAGCACCAGATTCTGATCACCTCTAAAACACTGAGCTGGCTTCCTGCTCTCTGCAGAGAACGTTACAGAACAGTGAAGAGCATGTGATAAATATATAAATCCTTTGTCGAATGGCATTCTTTGAATTTTCTGGCATATGGAGGTCAATTTACTAACAGGCAGGTTATGGCTGTATGTTTGAATATTCTATCAATACAGTTTGCGGTCAGTCAAGCCAAGTGCATGGAAATACGATCCCACTGTTGGTGAACATGTCAATTCTCTGACGGGTTCAGCTATGATGAGCTTGTCTTTCAGAAAGAATATTATTGAAGGCAGCACTTTTCAAGTCAAAAAGAAGACTTGGAAAGTTATCACTGTCATACTGCCTAACACCGTTGGCGATGTGGATGTTTTTACGACAGTGGTCTGAATGAAGTACAACTGGAATGCAGACATTGCCATCTGTCCCCCCACCAAAATAAAATGCCTTTAAGGCACTGATCATGCTGTGAGGGCTTTGAGACATAGGTGCGAGGCTTCTGCGTTGAGCCCTCCTTTGATGACATAAAGGGATTGACTCTCAGTTAAGGGCAGATGGGAGGAAAGGTGTGTGGGCTCTCGCAGCCTGGGCAGGAGCGGGCAGAACAGTGAGGAGAGAGTTTAGACTGGGGAGGCTGGGATAACCAAAGATAACCGTAGCCAAACTTGGCCCATACACAGCTCCGCTGGGGAGGGAAAGTGGTGTTTTCTTTTCTTCTGATCTTATGCACTTAAAATACTCAACATGTCCAAGAAATACAGCTAGAAATAGTGTTTGGGAGGAAAACTGGCATTAAATATTATTGAAAATAAAATCTGCTGCTTCTGCTTCAGACTAAGGTGGAATAACAGGAGTCAGATTTGATCTTTTACTTGAAACAATGAACAACCAAAGGCAATATGAAATAACAGTTCCCGAGACACGGGACATTTGACAGTGAAGGAAAGCGATGCCAAGAAATGAAACAAGCAGATGAGCCAAATGATTTGACCCATCTTTCCTCCTCAAGAGATTTTCAGGCCACAGGACAAGGAGTGGGGACATGGGAGGAGGTCAACAGTCTCCTTCAAGAGTTGTAGAAAGCTCTGGCTTGTGTGGCTCAGTGGACTGAGCACCAGACTGCAAACCAAAGGGTCGCTGGTTCAATTCCCAGAGAGGGCACATGCCTGGGTTGCAGTCCAGGTCGCCAGTAGAGGGCACGTGAGAGGCAACCACACATTGATATTTCTCTCCCTCTCCCCTTGCCTTCTCTCTAAAAATAAATAAAATCTTTTAAAATAAGAGTTGGGGAAAGTCCAGTCCAGCATGAAAGGAGCTGGGAAGCTGTCATTCCACTCTAATTATAAACACTAGACAAAATGAAAAACCAACAACTCTTCTTAGGTCCAGCAGATAAATGATAACACAGTGCAAAGCACTGCAACCAGTACTGGAGAGGTGAACAGGCAGAAACCTTCGAAGGAACTAGTGCTGGGTTCCTTCTGCCTAGTGCATGCTGTCTGGCTTTCAACAAAAAATTAGAAGCCATGCTAAAACACAAAACACAGTTTGAGGAGATGGGCAAGCATCAGAACCAGACTCACATACAGCAGGGATGGTGAAATTTTCAGACCGAGACTTCAAACAACTACGATCAGTTACATAAGGGCTCTAATGGGAAAAAGTGGACAATCTGCAAGAACAGGTGGGCAATATAAACAGAAATATAAAAACTCTAAGAATCAGAAAGAAATGCTGGAAATCAAAAACACTGTCACAAAGTGAGCAATGCCTTTTATGGGCTCATCAATAGACTAGACGTGGTTGAAGACAGAATCAGTGAGCTTGAAGAAATGTTCAACAAAAAATCTCCAAAACTAAAATGTAAAGAGAAAGAGAATGAAAAAACAAAAACAAAACAAAACAAAACCACAAGACAGAAAATCCAAAAACTGTGGGACAGGTACAAAAGGTTACATACTCATAATGGGAACGCCAGAGAGAGGGTTCAGAAAAAGGGAAGACATAAAAGAAATATTTGAAACAATAATCACAGAGAATTTCCCAAAATTAATGACCAAATCACATACTTGGGAAGCTCTGAGAACACCAAACAGGAGAAATAGTAAAAATATGCACACCTAGGCAAATCGTATTCAAATTTAGAAAATCTTGAAAGAAACCAAAGATAGAAAACACCTTATCTATAAAGGAAGCAAGGTAAGAATTACACTGCACTTTTCTTCAGAAACTATGTAAAGCAAAAACAGAGTGGAGTGCAAGTGCTATAAAAAAAAAAAACCCCAACCACCAACTACAATTACGTATCTAGCAAAGTTATCCTTCAAAAGTGAGTAAGAAGCAAAAACTTTCTCAACATAGAAAGTTAAGGGGAATTCATTCAACACAGACCTGCCCAGCAAGAAATAGAAGAAATTCTTCAGAATAAAGGGAAAATGCTGTACAGGTCAGAGATGTGGGTCTGCACAAAGAAAGGAAGGGCATTAGAGAAGGAATCCGTGCAAGTACTCGTAAAGTACTTTGTTCTTATTTGAACAGTTTCTTCAAAATCATAGCAGCAACAAAATGTTCAGTGATTACAGCTATGGACAAGTTAAACAACTGCAATACCATGGGAGAAGAAAGGAGGACTTGGGAATATTCTAAGATACAACAATGTTATTTGAAAGAAGACAAGGACTGTAAACTCAAGAGCAACCACTAAAAACGCTTTTTAAAAAGCATAATTGATATGCTGAGAATAAAATATTAAATAACATAAAATCCTCCATCAAAAGGGGGCCCCTGGCTGGTGTGGCTCAGTGGATCGTGTACTGGCCTGTGAACCAAAACGTTGCCAGTTTGATTCCCAGTCAGGGCACATGCCGGGGTTGCAGGCCAGGTCCCCAGTTGGAGGGCCGTGAGAGGCAACCACACATTGATGTTTCTCTCCTTCTTTTTCTCCCTCCCTTCTGCTCTCTCTAAAAAAATAAATAAAATCTTTTAAAAAAAAAACTAGAGAAGGAAAGAAAAAAAGTAGAAGAAAAACAGAACATGGGAAACAAATAGAAAACAGGAAAAAATATGGCATGTACTAATTAACCCACCTGTGTCAATCATCACTTTAAATGTCAATGGTATAAATATACCAATTAAATGACAGCAACTTGTCGGATTGGATCAAACACAACAGGACCAAACCATACGTTGTCTGGAAGAACCCCACTTTAAATACAGTCACAGATGACGAAAAGGATGGAGAAAGATGCTAACACTAATTGAAGAAAGTTGGAATCACCATATGCATTTCAGACAAAGCTAGAAAAATTATCAGGGATAAGGAGAAGCCTGATTAAGGGGTCAATTCTCCAAGAAGACATAACAGCCCTGAATGTGTGTGCAACTAACGGTGAGGTGGGCCCTAATCTAGCCCGACTAATGTCCCTACAGGAAGGGGAAGTCTGAACACCGAGATGTGGATACGGACAAGACGGCATGAGGGGACGCAGGGCGAAGATGACCATCTATCAGCCAAAAAGAGAGACCTGGAACAGGCCCTTCCCTCGGATCCCTTAGAAGGAACCGCTCTTGATTTCAGACCTGCAGCTTCCAAACAGGAGAAACATTTCTGCGAACACGCCCAATCTGTGGAACATTTTACAGCGGCCCTAGCAAACTAAAACAATACATAACGTGTACCTCAATAAAGGTGCTACCAAAACCCAAAACAAAACTATGTACTGCCTACAAGGAACTCACTTCAAATATGACGACAGGTTGAACATAAAAACTCTTCTAGACGTTTGCCATAGTTTGGTCAACAGAAACCCCTGGCCTTCCTGGGTGTTTGGGAGCACGGGCTGTGTGTGCCACGGACCCTGGGTCAAGAGGCTGGGGGAAGGCAGCGAGCCAAGCAAGGTGACATCTACGTTTACATTTCCAGGGAGAAATAAGAGAAAAGGAGCTCCTGACAAGTCAGGGAAAAAAGCATCAGAAAAACCAAGAAATGGAAGAGAGAGTAACTAATGCAGATTTCCAAGTTAGTAAAAGTCAAATCCATGGAACTCGACAATTACATGTGCCTTTTCACTCCAGCCAGAACACTTTAAGGAGTGTGATTCCGTCATGTCAACTACTTGCCAGCATCCCCAAGATGTTATTCCTGTCATTCTTCTGCTCGCCCGCCTGACAAAGCCCCAACCCTGAATAAAAGGCTTTAACATCGAGCAGTGCTGAAGGAAAGTCCCCCAGATACATGGATGCCACGGGAAGGCTATGGTGTCCAACTCACTGCTGTCCTTGTCTTGTCCACCTTCCTCCGGATCCTCTAGGACCACTATTTCCCACTAACCCTGCTGTCTCTGCACCTCCCTCCTCACAGCGCCCCACTTCTGGAACGGGCCACATCACTCAGTTCACGTCACTTCATTCTCCGACACGGAACTAAACCATTAGACGAGAACTTTCCCCTCGCCACCCAGACAACACACATGCCTGTGTCCACACCCATCGCTTCATCTGCCTCCGACACGGACCTGAGCTGCTCCCTCCCGCTTAGGAACATAAGTGTACCGATGATCTTGGCCAACCCCGCCCACACACCCTGCGTTTTCACCTCTCCCACTGATTCCATCCCACCACCCAATTAGCATTTGAACATGAGGCTCAAGATGTTCCCATCCTTAAAACTTGTCAGGCAGTTCCCTCGCTGCAGCCTCGCCCTCCATCACAGCCAGTTCTGGAGTCGTTCGTGTCTGCCCACTCCATCACTTTGCTGTCCTCATCCCACTGCAGCCTGGAGGCAACCTCCGTCACTCCACTGAAACCGTCCTGGAGGGAAGTACTGGCTATGGCCTGGGTGGGGGAGCCAAAGGAAGATCTCGATGACCACAATTCTTTTTTTTTTTTAAATTTTAAAGTAAATTCTATTCATTTGTTTTTAGAGAGAAGGGAAAGGAAGGAGAAAGGAGAGAAACATGAATGTGTAGTTGCCTCTTGCGTGCTCCCCACAGGGGACCTGGCTCCAACCCAGGCACGTGCCCCAACTGGGAATCGAAGTGGTGATCGATCCTGTGGCTCATAGACCAGCGCTCAATCCACTGGGCCACACCAGCCAGGACCAATTCTTAAGTTCTAAGACACAGATTCACTCCTCTCCTACATCTTAACAATCAATGGGCTACATCTTTACAATCAATGGGACTGAATGCAATGGGTCATTGCTTCTCGGCCATTTGGCAAAGATCAAGTGTAGTTACCTGTTCGTATCAACTTTAGTATCTGATATGTCCTCTACGTGAGGACAATTTATTAGGTGCATTTCTGGAGCAGTGAGATGGAAGAGCGTGCTCTGCCCACTCTGTGCAATGACCTGGTACCACAGTACTTCGGGGGATGGTGCATACACACCAAAACGTGGGTCCTAGTTTGTTTATATAAGGACTTAATAATCAGGTAGATTCAATCAAATGGTGCTTCTGAAATCTTTTTAAAACTTTTATATCAAAAGCCTTTTAACTTCACTCTCCCTGAAATACTTGACTCTTTTGCTCTGATACCAACCCCTCTATCTCGACTGCTCCTGCTATCTTCGTTGTGTTCATTTTCCAGCTTGTTTTCTCACTGGCTTCTCTGGATGGACTGCTGCGCTTTCATGGTTTGGGGACCACCTGTGTGCTGTAGGACAAGCCTACACCTCATCTAATGGCATGTGGCCATGACTCCCAGAGACTTCAGGTCACACAGTTCCAAAGTACTGAGTCCAGTAATGACTTGGGTCAGGTTGTTAGCCTTGAGACTGATGATAAATCAGAATGTTTACATGCACAACTGTATGGTGTAACTCGGTGTAATGTACCTGAGCTAGACGAGTGGTCCTCGGTATATGATGTAGATGACATGAATTTCCCCAGCCTTATACATATACAGGCTGGATCTAAAAGGGGGCTTTCAGGTTTAATATAAGGCCTACTCACACATTACCCCACTGCGTGTGTGCCCTACCACTCCTCCACTCCCAGCCCTTGCCCCAGATCCTGGACTCTAGGTTTGTGCACTGACTTCCTCCCAACTCCCCAGCACCTTTCACCACTATCATCTGCCCCAGTCACGCACTTCCTTGCTTTCCTCTCTGGGTGAACACCTGCTACACAGGTGTTAAGTGATTTCCACGGACAGCATAAGTCAAACACGGTTACCCACCAGTTTTTCATTCACAAATATTTATTGAGCACCTACTATGCACCACACCATGTCAGGCTCTGGGATGCGAGTGAAATAAGGTATCACCCCTGCCCTCGTGGAGCTTACAATCTAGTCAGGGAAATTGACAGTACATGATGAACTAATACATAAAATAGATACAGGCTGTAATAAGTGCCACATAAGATATAACCCGAATGATGTGATAAAGATAGTTAGGAAACACGTCCTTCTTAGAAAGAACAATCAGGAAAGGCTTCTCTTGTGGTTAAAAGATGGGTTTGAAATGTGGCTCCCCACTTACAAGCTGCATGACCTTAGGCAAGTAACTTACCCACAGAATCTGTTTCCACGTCTGTGACATGAAGACAATCACAACAAACTCAACACACTTCCAATTGACTCCCTTGCTCCTTGGATGTTACCCCTATAAAACCAGTTAGTTGTCTCACCTACGTGCTGCTGTAGCACCCTCCAGAGTTGCATTTTAATCTCTGTATTTCACTATTTTGCATATTCTACTGGAGTACAACTTTGGTGGTGGCAGGGACCTAGCCATCTCGGGTTCCAAGTGCCTGATACAATGCCTGCCACGTACAGATGTCAAGCACTTGACGAATGACTTTTGTAAGGCAAAAGCTGTGCAGATGAAAGGCATAAAGAGGGAAAGCCTGATGGAGAAAGGTCCTGAAGAGGACAGGAAGGAAAGGGTCAAAGGCCTACATCATCTGTAACTGGAACAAGCAAGCAAGGGTGGAGCACTCATGCTGAGGTACTGGCACTGGGTCTTCTGATGGAGGTGATATATAATAATTGGTGAGAAGGGGCTAAAGAACCATGCAGAGCCAAGTTAAGGGGTAACTGACTGAGAGGGAGGGGTGCAAGGATATGTTCAAGGCTGTGATGATGGAGCAAAGCTGAACTAGTAGAGAAAACAAGAGGTGAAATGGCCATAGGGAGTTTCTTGGAAGATAATGTTGTAGGTGAGATAACCAACCGTCTCACAAGCCATGCTGCGGGGTGGACCATCCATAAGAATGAGGACACTGAGAATACCACCATCACTCAGGAAGTGAAACCTTCAACAAGTCAAATGGAGTGATAGGGTGGCTTGGTAACAGCAGCTGATAGAACCTCTTGGCATGGGCTGCAAAGGGGCAGATTTTTGTCAGAGGCCTTGGGAGAAGTTTAGAAATTATGATAGAAAGGGCAGCAACCACCACCTCAAGATACGTGGAATATGAGCATAGACCACACCTGGAGAGCAAGACGTGGTCGCACTTCAGGCGACAACCAAATTTGTCATGAAAAGGTTGAGATGCAGCCAAGCATGGTTTAGGGAGGAGAGCATAGTCAACTGGGCATGACCAGAATACGTGCAGAATGAAGACGAGTAAAGGTAAAAATGGAAGACGTGGAAAATTTGCACTTCTTTAGACTGCAGCAAAAAGATGAGTTTCTTATCAAACTTACCATTGTCCCCCCACAAGACTAATGGCCATTTCAGCTGCCTCCTGCCTCTGCAAATGGCACCATTATCCCGGTTGTTCAGGCTTGAGAAATGGACTCAGCTTTTACACCTACATCCACACAGCCACTGAATCTCGAGCATTCCTTTGACCCCAGTACCCACTCCCTTCCTTTTTCCAGTGCCCACGTCTGAAGTGAGTTCTCATAATTTATGTCTAGGTTCTCTTATCTGTCTCCTAAGTGGCACACCTAATTAATGCCACTCCGGTTTAGTTAGAGGGCTTTTTAGACCCCCAAGTCCACTGCGACACTCACCTACATGTTTCTTCATTTGTAAAATGGGCACACCACCACTCTCCTTTGAAGTGCTACTGTAAGGACCAAGGCATTTTTGTAAAGTTCTTAGCACATTTTGTGTTAGATAAGGACCTTGATTTTTGATAACTTGATTATAAACCCTTTGAAGTCTGGGACCAGATCATTTATACTACGGAATCCCACATACACTTACAAAACATACTGAATAAATATTTGTTGAGTGGTTTGATGAAGGCCGAAACAAGAGGATATTCTATTTTATAACACCATACTTCACTAACCTTCATTTAAAAAAGGTATGCTTTGAGAATTCAAAGTAAGCTTTAAAAGCCACTCAGAAATAAAAAGCAGTTGGGAAATAATCCATGTGGTATGCTAACCAAGAAATGAACGAACACCTGAAGACAGCGATCTGTTCTTCTTTCCCCACAGCTGCCCTCAGAACGAACACCAAGGCCTGACTGGGCACATCCAAGAACACGAAGTGAACTAAACCAAGCTCGGCCCAGCTATATTGTTCCATCCTCACCACATTTCAGGTTTGGGTTGGACTGCCTTTGGCTCAGAGGGTCCTACCGGCTTTGGGGAGCTCAGAAAGGCCAAATGGAGCCTACGGGAAGAGCAAAAGAGAGAGCTGGCTACTAACGGCTGGCCATAGGCACGAACGATTTTTGTGTCAGTATTTTCTAACTAAGACTGGAAAATGTAGTCTGGCAAGGGGCTACTTCACAGTGCAAATAAAACTACAAAAAAAATCACTGGGACATCTACACATGGGTGTTTGTGGAACACGTCAGATACATGTGAAAGTGAGAAAGCCCAGGAAAACCGCAGCTGACCACCTCCAAGTCAGTTAGCCCAGCCCAGCAGGGTCAGAGGGCAGAGGGCTTAGTTCAGACACCTACAGAGAGGTTAAGCTATGCATGTTCCCAGAATACACAGCCAGACAGCTCTTCTCATACCACATGTTTGGAGTATAAATTAGTATATCCACTTGCAAAGGCAACATGAAGCAAGAACTACAAAATGTTCATAACCTCGACCCAGAGATTCACCTCTAGGAATTTTTCCTAAAGAGTTATACACAAAGACACTCAACTGTAACATGAGATGCAATCTAAACTGTCCAACAGGGAAAGCACTGTGAACCATGGCACACTCCATGGAATATCATGCAACTAATCAAGGCTGACAGCTTTTAATGACATGGAATTGTGTCTTCAGATTGAGAATCAAACCAAGACACAAATCATACCAAGAATCAGTAAAATTATGTAAAAACAAGCAAAGTAGCAGAGAAGCTAGCAAGAAATATGCAAAAATACTCAAGTGCTTTCTCCCCACCCCAGGTGACAGAATTACAGGCAATTATTTTTCCTTATACTTTTCTGTGTTGTCCAAATTTTCCATAATGAGAATGCATAACTGTGTTAAATGAAACAAAAACATCATTGAATCAGACAAGCATTAAAGAAGAATGAACATTTCTATATAGCTTTATTTGTTTCTGCTAGGAACTGGTGTGGTTCCTAGCAACAACAACAAAAAATGTTTATAAACCAATCATTTATTTGACAGTAGCATCAGACTCTTAAAAAAGCAGAGGAATTCTTAAGTCTTTTCCACAAGTTTCACCATATTACTATAAAACTGTAGCAAAAAGCTGGTCAATCAGATTGAGCTGTTAATCACCCATCTCCACGACTGTGAGCTCCCGCGTCACATGGATCCAGGGCCACTACATACAATGTTAAACCCAAGTTTAAATGGCACACTGCTCTACATTTTCCCAGATGAAAAGAGAATGAGGAAAATAAAGGTGTTTACTTAAAAAAGAATAAAATGAAACCGTCAAATGCTTTTTGACCAACTGGGGGCTACAAATGAATGGCATATCTGAGACTTAAACTAATGCTTTGTAAAAATCAACTTTAAAAAGACGAAATGTAACTAGTAAAGACTTTATTGGCAGAAGGAAGACAGACAACCAGTCACTAAATCCTAAGTGTCCAGGACTGGTCTGAAGGCAGAACGTCTGCAAGGTCTGAATCTCAAAGTCGGAACAGTCTCTGGGGAACACTTCACCTAAAACGCAACATCTTACTTTTCTTCAAACTCCTGAAGATTCTACCCTAAGGGAAACTTGTTTTATACCAAGAGTTACAAATCAATTTATTCATATTCGGAATTTCTAATCATGGTATTTGCATTCTAGCTTTCCTGAAACACATTAGATAAGCGCCGTAGAACCTAAATTTACCTCTACTGCTCCATTAGGCCTTTATAACTGTCCTGGGACCAAATGCCGGGTATTTACACCTTCTGAGCAGAAATGGAAGTAAAATCCTAAAGAGGCTCACCTAAGGGTCAGAAAGTTAGTGGATGTAAGCAGACCTTAGGCATGAAGCTATACGCAGCA